AAAAAAAAAAAGTTTTTTTTTTCTCTTGGTACTTTTTTTTGTTATTATAGAAAGCTGTTTAAATTATACAATAACAGTATCTGTTATTATAGTCTGTTTGAAATTTAGAAAAAAAAATATCTCGTTATTTGAGAAAACCAAATGCATATTTGAAAATTTTGCAACAGTTGGCAATAAGCGACATTAAAGATTTCAAGCGTTTGCAGAATTTTAACTTATTGATGGTTGGATGTTTTTCCGCTGATAAACTGTTAAACAATTCAATTCTGAATATCGGCATAATTTGTCGACAACTGAATATTGAAATTTCTTGATATATACAGCGTTCAACTAACAAAGCTCAGTAAAAATAGTCTAATTGTTTTTTTTTTTTTTTGTTGGTTAATTGATTGAACTGTTAAACGTAACAAAAGAAAAAAAACTAAAGTCAAAATTTTTAGGTTTTCTCAGATGTACAGATAGTTTGAAAAAGTTTTAAAAAATTCATTTGCTTTTGTTTTTTTTTTTACAATTGTTTAACAATATATAATGAATTAAATGCATCTCTAAAATAGTGCATCAATAAACAGGAGAAAAGGAAAATGAATAAAATTTCCTGTCAGTAACTAGTAATTCAGCTGTACAAAAAAAAAATAACAAGCTTAGGTGAAACGAGAATACTGTTAACGATATATTTTATGTATGCATTGATACAACAACTGTAATGTTCTTCTTTCGTGACGACAATACATCCTCGTCATAATTAGATCATTACAACGGTATAATTTCCCTCTCTTGCTTTATAGCGTCAACACAAAATTGCCAGAAAGCAGTCGTTGTCTAGACGGAAGAAGGTCAAGATAGAGCCATATTATATTCAGGGTTCTAACACCACCAAAAATAAAGTGTCAAAACAACGTTAAAGAACAGTCTGCACATTTAGAAAGCCTGGTTCAGAGAAGATCAGAAAGAGAATTAGTGAAGTGGTAATTTTGAAAATCGTTTCTTGAGTCTCTTAGAGTTCGCTACTATTATTGGCAGCATTTGAATGGTATAATACATTGATGCTTTTTTCTGACCAACTTTTAGACAGTTTTTTTTTACATATATATACGTGCATACAACTTTTTTTTGGTCAAAAAAAATTTTTACTTGTCGATAAAAAAGATGAATAAAAGAAGAAAAAGCTAAGAAACTTTTAGTAGTTTTACCCTGATGAGAATAAAACTGTGCCAGAATCTTCTAAAATTATTTATGTAAATAAATGTAGATTGGAGATGAATTGAGAGCAGAAATGAAATTAGCTTTAACAAAAAACAATAGTGATTCATAATCTTTGAAATAAAATTGACAATAAAATTTATGAGATCTTTGTCACTGATACACACACAAACATCTAAACACAGAGATACTACTAAGTGTACAAAAAAAAAAAAAAGTAGAGATTGAAAAAGCATAAACAGAAAACTATGCTTTCCTTTTTCTGCATTGGTTCCGTCATCGTTGTTCTATGCAATATGAACATTTTTGAATGTATTTCAATGCATGTGCTACCGCTTTTATCGCTGCTTCTTTTACTACAGCATAAAGAAGGGAATATGTTGTATTTTATAGTTTTTGTTTATCTGTCTTAGTCTAGCATGAAAGAAACTTATTGGTTAAGCTTCTTCTTCTTCTTCTTTTGCCAGCTGTTTGCACCTATCCACCAACTTTGATGGATATTGCAAAGAAAAAACGGCATTGAAAAAAAGCAGCAGCAGCAGCAGCAGAAAAAGAAGAAGCAAAAAAATTAGATTGAAACAAAAATTTTTTCAAATATTTCAGTTTGTTTCGTCTTCGATATACTATTTTTCCAATTTTTTTTTTCTGTTTTTATTTTTTTTTTCGTCATCTTTCTAACAGATAGAGAATTTTTTGCGTTTTAAATAGTTTTATTAGGTACAATAAGTGTTTTTCGGTAAGTTTAGAAAACAAAACAATTATTCCACCAAAAGAGGTGTAAGTTTATCGAAAAAATATCAATTGTTTAGCTATCAAAAGAATAAAAAATCTTATTCTTTCCTCACTTTCTTCTTTTGTCTTTTGGAAAGCTCAT